TCTAGCCGGAATTTCACAACCTCGCGCACCAGCTCAGGCTCCTTCCCCATCAGAGAGGTGACATTCCATGCCCAAAGAGCTAGCTTCTGCAGCCGAGGATCGGACCGCCAAGGTCCCCGCCTTCGGCCACTGCCCAGCTCACATCGCACCGACTCCAGGGGGGGGCCCCGGTGACCCACGTCCGAGCAAGGGAAACTGTGATTCCACTATTTTTTTCATCATTAGGGGTCTTGTGAGCCGCACTTCGTCTGGTTCCTCACCCCGAACCTGTTTGCCTTGGGTGACCCTAGCAGGGGCATAAAGCCCCGGGCAACTTAGCTCCTGGGATCATTGGAACACGCAAACCCCTCCACCACGATAAGGTGTCGGCTCCAGGAGAGGATTAGCAAATAATATTAAACATATACAAGGAATTTGTCTTGGTGGGTTACTCCATGCTCCAGTATACCATATAACGGGGTTCCCCAATAGGCAACCCGTGGGTCAAATCTGACCCCCAAAGCACTCAGCACTCAAACCCCACTCCTCCATGTGGAACCCTGACATATATCATGCAAGATAACTTCAAGACAATTTATTGTATGTACATATATAGTATGTACTACCAAGAGTCAAAAGCAGCATAGGATATAATAGAGGGTGAGATAAATATATAATAAATGGCAACTTTATGGGGGTTGGGGGACTAAAGCATTACATCACAGTCAGCAAGGTCCTAAATTAAACAATATAAATAAGTGACATTTCATGTCTGTAGCACATTTCAAAACAAAACGACCTGTCTCTGTGAATCTTTGTAAACATTATTATATCGATATTTCTATCTCATGATTCTATTTTTAGTGAGCCTGCCAATACTTATTGACTGTCAAGTTGGGAAAAACATACTAACCATATGTACTTACTGCTGCAAACAATGAACCACAGCAGCAGTGCCAGATGTCTTGGGTTATGGCCTGGTTTTTCAATTTGTGTAGGGACTTGATTAAAAAAAGTCGTCAGAAAAACTATGACGTTGTGAAACCCTTTTGACATTGCAATACTGACAAACTAGTCTTGGGGGGAAAAATCATGCCCATCCAGTCTTGTTTGTTTTAGTACAACACAATGTAAGATGTATTACTGCCACCTACTGGCTGGGAGCTACTGCACAGATAAGAGGTCTGGGGTTTACACACTCGCTGTTGTTAATTTGGCTTTAATCTCTCTCATTTACTCACTCTGTTCACAGCAAACTGAGACATCAAGCTCAGAGTGAGAGATTTGGATACAAGGAGGTAAGTCTGAGTCCCTTGAACAGAAACAGCACAGAGGGGTTTCATACTTTAGTTTTGTTGACATGCTTGAAGAAATACCTGAATATTGATTGCACTGTGCAAGCCCTGTGATTAAGAAAAAAAGCCAGTGATCTGGCCTCATAACCCCGGCATCTGCCACTAAATTATGTGATGATATTCCAGTAAATCACTTTAAGACTTAAGGCAATATAGTAAATTATCAGCAAACTGAGTATTATTAATGTGTATTCTAACAGTAATGTCCAGCAACAATGTAACATCTAGAAATGGCTGGGTAATTGCTTGAATTAAGGTTGCTTCAGTTTGGTGCACAGTCCCCATTGTCACATCCGCCACATAAAGGTGATGTGAAAAACACAAGAGTATAACAGAATTAAAATTGTGAGGAATCAATGATGGGCCTTAAATTTGTTTAAGAAAGTATATACGAAAGGTCGTTGGTAATGAAAGGGCAGGTATTGCATGATAAATACGTTCATATGCCTTAGTTGTATATTTTGTTTAATTCTGTCGTTCTTCTTTGCAGGTCGTATTAAAAGGAGATGCAAAGAAATTAAGTCTACATGGGGTAAGAATATATATTTGTTTATAAACTTAAAATTCCTTAGAGTTGAAAGTGAACATAACAGGTTACATAACACAGACACCAAAGTAAAGAACAACTATGATGTTTGAAGCATATATTTCTCTATTATGAGATGTAATACAAATGTTTTTAATGGTTGAGGAATATTAATTTTGTCTGAGTACTTAAATCGTTAGTTGTGCTGAATAACATTTGTGAAACCTTTATTTTTGCCAGTTTCCCTGCATTCCCTGATGCTGAAATGCAGTCAGATATTCTTAAAAGTTCATGTAATGCATAACATCGGACACCATACAAAAATACCCTGAATTGAGCAATTTCAAAATCCACAGCCTTTGTTGGGAAAAATATAGAAACCCCTTGGATTATCGACTGTATCAAGGAAGTAATTTAAGTCAGATATTCTGTTTATGAAATCAGGCAAACATTTCTAAAGACTTTGGCCAGCACCGTTGTTATTCCCAAGAGCTGTTTTTCAAAAAACAAAATCATGGGATGTGACACTCAGGGAATGTGTCACAGAAAACCCCAGGATATTTCTTGATTTGGCAAATGTTAGCATGTACTGTATGAGTCTGCCATGGAATTCACCTCACAATCGTGGTGTGCAGTATATGCTTTGAAAGACCACTGTTATCTGCCTCAAGTTTATCAAAGTCCTGGATGATCCAAAAAGTTCTTAGTAGAGCTTGTCTTCATCCAGATGAACAGAAAGTGGAACTCATGGACATAAATGAGAACCAGAATGTTTGGTAAAAAATAAATCCTGCATCTTAACAAAAGAACATCAAACCTTGAAGTGTGGAGATGAGAATATTATGGGCAGTGTTACAGTCTCAGGACTTTGAAAAATAGATTATATACTGTACCAGCACATTTTTCAGGAAACTGGGTTTGTGTTTTGAAGCCAGAAGGGTCTAAGCACATAGAGGGAGAATGACTGAAGCAAAAGTGTATTTTGGAACAGCCAAGTGCTAATGTCATCCAAGAAGAAGCATGGGCTGAATAGTTTATTCAAGAAAGTCCAAACAATCAGAGGATTCAGGCGTTTCTTAAGGAAAAACAATGCAAGTCAGAATGCTCAAAGGATTGTAGGAAGCATTTGAAGTTATTGCTTCTAAAGGAGATGCCATCAGTTACTAATTTTAATAATTATTCCAATACTTTCCACATCCATGACAGTGAATATTGTACCAACATGTTAGTTAAATACATGGAAAAGGTCCAGTTTTGTGTGCTATTTCAAATTGTTCTGTTCATAAGTACAACTCTAGGTCAAAATATCAACTTATTCCCAGATAGTACATTTAGGTAAAAGTACTACAGGAATACAGATCATTCTGAAATATTTACAAACTTTCTGTCAGCACTGTATCTTTTTTGCCCTTCCTGTGTCAGGTTAATCTAAAATAGCCCTGGAACATCTTGTCTTTCTTTCACAGCAGACGTGTGCAGTTTGCCTGGAGGATTTCAAAGTCAGAGACGAGTTGGGGGTGTTACCATGCCAACATGCATTCCACAGGAAGTGAGTAGCGTGTCAGGTTGGGGGGTGGATGTCTGCCATGAGGGTGGGATTGACATGTGAGACAAGTTTAATCATAGCCGAAAAATTTTATGAACACTGCATAATACTGCATAAAACTGTATCATAATACCTCATCTCAAAGGGACACGCCACATAAACATCCTCATCCTGAAAACAGAGTTGAAACTCTTAAAACTACCCAGATGACTTGCTATCCTAAATGAGGTAATCACTCTACTGAAAACCAGCTGGGTTTCATTGCCCCTGGGATTTGTCGATATATGGCTGGTGATCGAGGAATGGAAAGAAGAAAGTTCCTCCAAACGTGATATTCCCAAAACAAATCCTAACATGCTGGGAAAAAGTGATATGCATTTGTGAAATGCCAAGTTGTGTCCTTTTGTGGTTGCTGTATTATACGTAGGCTGTGGTGCCTTGCCCTGGGGTTATTATTCTAGGTAATTTTCCATTTAGGCCTTGAATTGCAAGAATTTATTGTAGCATTAAGTTAAGGATTAGAATTTAACAGAATGTGGTGACCTCGGGGTTGGACTGTGACTACACTAGGTTGGTGTGGGACTGTGACTGCACTACGTTGGTGTGGGACTGTGACTACACTAGGTTGGTGTGGGACTGTAACTGCACTAGGTTGGTGTGGGACTGTGACTGCACTAGGTTGGTGTGGGACTATAACTGCACTAGGTTTGTGTGGGACTATAACTGCACTAGGTTGGTGTGGGACTGTGACTGCACTAGGTTGGTGTGGGACTGTGACTGCACTAGGTGGGTGTGGGACTGTAAGGTATCTTTGCTTGTCACTAACCTCCCCGGTTGTTTCCATAGGTGTCTTGTAAAGTGGCTGGAGGTACGTTGTGTCTGCCCCATGTGCAACAAGCCGATCGCTGCCCCCCCGGAGCAGCACCAGAGCATCGGGACACTGCTGGATGAGCTTGTGTGATCTAACAGCCCCTTGGGGTGAACAAACTGTACAGATACACCAAGACAGTCACACATACACACTGTCCAATGTGGTTTAACGGTGCCTACATGTCAGACAAGTTTAATACAAAGCAGGAAGAGGGAGGGGTGATCGCACCATTAAAAGGAAAGAAAACCTGTGAAGCAGAAGATGTAGGTTGAGGGTTGAGGTGTGATCTGCTCCGACATGGACCCGAGCTGGCCGTCTCCTTTGTCTTCTGGAGCTGCCACTAAAAAGGGGCACACAGTCTTACAAGACATTCCAACGTGAGATTTTTGTAACATTAGAGTGAACTTTAAGTGTACCGTGTGGCTTTGCCGTAATGTCTGTGAGAACGCCGGCCACTCCGATGAGGTCTTGCAGGACGGAAAGCAGTGCAAAGTTTAGACATTTGTGTTATTATTTACCTGAAACCTTTATCCGACTCGTGTACCATGAGATTTTCCATTTGGATACTCTGTCACACTGCACTGTCGGGCTCGAGGCATCTGCACAGTGTGGGGAGGTTATTTCAGGCAACATGCTAGGGAAGATTTTGAAACTGGCTGTGTTTCAGGGGCACTGTCATTGTGGTCTGTGACACTGCCTTTCAGTAAATGACAGCACTCCAGTCCTACACTGGTTTTACATGACGTGCATACAGTAAAGTTTTAGGCAGTGAAAATCTTCAAAGTCGGCATATTATTACAAATTAATGTTTGTTTTCCTGTTCGTTCCTAATCATATGGACTGAAGGGTTACAAAGTGAACACGCTAAGATTTTTTTAAGTGCGATGATGATCTGTGAAATGAGTACAAGCAGCTCACATGAAATGAATAATTTCTAAATAAAACAACAGTGTCAGGATGTGGGGACACGAGGCGGAGAGGCTGAGCCTCAGGGATTCATACTAAACATGGTTCTATGTGGTTTTATGCATTTATTTGTAATAAGTTATACTACAAAACATGACAAAATGCATTCAATTTATATGTGACTGCCAGAAACAACTTATTTGATAAATAAAAATAGAGATCTTTAGGGGAAATTGATAATTTCCAAAATATAGTTCTATAATTATCCAGGCCCTAATATGTAGTGACATTCGTGTACATTCAAAGAACTTAATCAAATGTTAGCCAATCATTCCTATGGATAGGGAGTGTGTTATTTTCCCCCATTTTCACTTTTATTGCTCTTGTGGCTTACTTGGAAGATTTGACTATGCTCTGAGTACAAGTAATTTATCATTTTCAGTGGAAACATGTATATATGTAAGACACCGGGAATGTGATCAGCCGTGGAAGTGACATACTATTAGATGTAAATATGTAAAAAAAAAAAAAAATAGCAGCAGCAAGGTGCCTCTTGAGTATAATGCATGATGTTTGTTTTCACCTTAATTGGCCATGTAGGCCAGAAAACATGGCAGAGTGTTTTAAACCTTGTGTAGGTTTGTCACTCAGTATGTATCCTTTATGATAAATACCATTTTATACAAGAGCGTTCTAAGTTATTCATTTTTTTCCTTGAATAAATACATGAAAAAAATCATAAAGATTGAAATTTTGGTGATTCTTATATTGCTAGAGAAGTATGATTTGATTTGTTATTAGTTGACTTCACAACAAAACAAAGTTTAAATAAATAAATGTAAAACACAATACTGACTTACTTGACAATCTTAATCAAATGATTAAAATTAAATATCAGGATCCAATTGACCTGAAGCACTTGTTTATGAAAATGGTGCTGTACCTGTGGCCAGAAGGTCACCAGTTCAAATCCCATAGTCGGCAGAATGATGTCACCACTGGGCCCCTGAGCTGGGCCCTTAACCTCAGTTGCTGCAGGGACTGGTTGGCCCTGCTTTCTCAGTCGTACATCACTGTGGATATAAGCATCTGCTAAATAGGTGAAGGTAATATAAAATCCAAATGTTAACTGTGTGTAACAAGGAACGTCCATCATTATTCCACACGCCCACTTTAGTAATTCTTTACCAACATCCATCCATCCATCCATCCATCCTGTAACCACTTCCTGACTAGGCTGATGGGCCAGTGAGCCAATCCCAGGGAGCACAGAGCAGAAAACTGAGATGCATCCTGGATGGGGTTCCGATCCATCAGAAGACACACACAACTACAGACTTTAGGTAGTTTAGAGACACCAATCAACCTACATGCGAGTCTGTGGATAACAAAATGGGAGAACGAACAAGTCCAGAGCAGAGGTGGGAACTGCACAACCCTGAAGGTGTGAGCCACTATCCCACTCCCAAGAATCCATCTGCTAACCTCTTCCCAGGCAACAGGGCTCAGGGGCAATCTGAACAGGATACCAGTCCATCCCGGGGCACATAGACAATTTAGACAATTTTACCCTGGAGGGGAGGGGCAGCAATACTACCCAGAGAGCCCCCACCCTGGAGGGGAGGGGCAGCAATACTACCCACAGAGCCCCCATCTGCACTGTATATTTTAGATTATATACTTGGTTCCTTACTTAGTATTTATTATATATTGTAATTTCTCTTTTTTACTCCGACTTTACTTCTTACATTTTTCTATTTTTTTTTTTTTTTTTTCTATTTTTACACAGTCACATAAGGGTGACACAGAGATACATTTCACTGCATGTTGTATGTATGTGACAAATAAATCTCTTGACTTGACTTGACTTGACCACCCCACTGCAGTAGTGTTGTAGTTCTCGAGACCGGTCTTGGTCTCGAGACCGGTCTCGAGACCAATTTTTTGTGGTCTCGGTCTTGTCTTGGTCTCGACTCTATTTGGTCTCGGTCTTGTCTTGGTCTCGGACATAGCGGTCTCGATGGGATGGGGAAAAAAAGAGAAAACTGCACATCCTCACAGAACAGTATCATTATTTATTACGCGCCTCAATTCAAATGCAACCAGTCAGATGCATCCATTTCAAAAACGTTACATTTTATACATTTTCTCCACGGACACTGCCAGTGCTTCACAGTCCACAAACACCATACACATCGTATCATACATCGGCAAAAAAATGTCCGAAAATGTCCGCGAAGTCTATAGCATAGTTATAATTCAAATAAATTAGGTATTTTACATTGATTAGAAAGCACGGTCTTGGAGGTGCAAGTCAATCTGGAGGCTCATTCTCTTCAATTCAAAGCAAAGGATCATTACATAGCTGTATTCATAGCTTACCCGAGGCCTCTGTCCCTGGTATAAGAGACTTAATATGAACATCTTTCTGGTACATCCCATCTCTTTCCCTTGACGAGGTCTGATAAAATGGTTATAGGAGAGGATTGCTGAGAATATTATTTTCCATCAGGTCTCGTAACTATGACAAATCTGGGAGATTTTAAATGAGAGACATATGGACATACAGACAATATAATTGAAAAGATAACATGAATTTGATTTAACGAGTAATGAAACTTTACAGCAATGCCTTTTTTCTCTACAGTTGATCTGGGTAATGTGATGTCGATTCTAGCCCAAGTATGTTTTCGGTCTTGGTCTTGGTCTTGGTCTCGACCACACTTGGTCTTGGTCTCGCCTTAATGTGTCTTGGTCTTGGTCTTGGACTTGGTCTTGGTCTTGATCTTGGTACCCTCAAGTCTCGGCAGTGTCTTGGTCTTGATACCCTCCGGTCTCGGCAATGTCTTGGTCTCGGTTTAGGCGGTCTTGACTACAACACTACACTGCAGAACAATTTAGTTTGTTTTCTGAAATGTTACATTTTTGAAAACAATATTTTTTTGTTCATTCTTTTTGGCACTATAGAGTTATCGTAAAATCGGTAGATATTTACCGAAGTCCTGGAATTCGTACATCTCTTCACGTTTCGGGACAACATGTGGAATGGCGTTTGTACTTCTCACTCCAGTACTGTAGGTGCCGCTATTCATTTCTTGATGAGTTAAACCAACCTTTTTTGAAGCGGAAATATCGCGAGATTCAGTGCGGCGTGTTCCCCCTGCTCTGGCGTGCTTTGAGGGTCTGTAGCCACATGTGGCAGTTTTAGTGTGGAGTATTTATCCATGTCTAATTAGTTATTTTCGTATTAAAATATATTAAACGACTTGAAACCATAACTCTAAACGTGGATAAACTGTTGTCCTAAGAAGTATTAAAATGCAGCACGACGACGTAAGTAAAAAGAGACTGCTCGGTGCCATTAAAGTGCTCCGAAATGAGTTACAGAACCAGCGAGATCTAGTCGGGTGCAAAATCTCTCTCTCTCTCTACATATATATGTATTATAATATGTGGACACGCTTCCATTTTAATTACTAAGAAAAGAATCCTTAAAAAAATGGAACACAAATGGAATCGTAGTATTTTGGCAGTGCCTAGTTAGTTCTGATAATGAGATACAAATGTACAGACGTGTAGTCAATATGTTTCATTATTTAGGTAATCTGGGACGTTATTGGAAACAAACAGTTCTGCTCCTACAAAGTCAAGTAAGTACATTGTGCTGTTTATGATAATTATGAAATCATGAGCTCTTCACGCTGTATAGTACAGTACTGAGGCATTTTTTTATTTAGTAATTTGCTCGTTTTTTCATTCTGTAAGATACTTTACTCGGGTATAGCTGGATAAGTTCAATATTTGACTGATCAATTAATGTGTTTTGAAGTGTAGTTACCTATTTTGGATTCTTTGTTTTCATAATTTAGGCAACCTTCCGAACGTAATGTATATTGGTGATGATGATTTCCTTTTAGAACGAAGAATAAGAATTTTTGCCGGAATGAATATAACATCACTGGGCTTTGTAACCGGTCATCATGTCCACTGGCAAACAGTCAGTACGCCACAATAAGGGAGGTGAAGGGTAAGTCACAGCCTGCTTTGGATAAGAGCTTATGCGATAGATGTTTTACATACAGTTCGCTTACGTGCCATTGGCTGAACTTGTGAGCGCCTGTAAATTTACGCTGCGCTATTGCTCTGCCTGTCCTGCAGGTCAGTGCTTTCTGTACATGAAGGTGATAGAAAGAGCAGCTTTTCCAGCGCGGATGTGGGAGAGGGTAAGCAGAGCTGCTGCGGAAGCAGCCGTGTTTATATCTGCCTTACGGATCGTGGTGAGACTACGTAGGAAAAGCGTATGTTCCTTGCACCCGCCGCATGAAATGCGTCCACTTTGCGCAGGTGAAGCTGAGCAAAAACTATGAGAAGGCCCTGGAGCAGATTGACGAGAACCTAATCTATTGGCCGCGCTTCATCCGGCACAAGTGCAAGCAGCGCTTCACCAAGATCACGCAGTACCTCATCCGCATCCGCAAGCTGACTCTGAAGCGACAGTGAGTCCCGGTCTTCCGCCACCCCGGAACATCGAGGGCATCCCCGGTGCACCTTGTAATTTGGCCTTTGGTGTTTTTTTGTTTTTAGGAGGAAACTGGTCCCCCTCAGCAGAAAGGTTGAAAGGAGGGAGAAGAGGAGAGAGGTACATCTGTGTTTTGAAAATCCACTGTCAGACCTCCTGCATTCACGATGAGTGCAGTTTCTTTGTTCTGCCTAAATTAGTCCTTAAAGTACCAGATAAGACAGTATTGCAGTATTCATGTATTTTTCACATCATTATGCATTTTAAAATAATTCTACCAACAGATTCCGCCAAGTACCTGGTACCAATGTGCAGATTATACAATGCAGTAAAGCACCATGTTTTGTGCAGTTTAAGGTGTTACGCAGCAGGAAATGACATCACTTGGTTACCTCCACCTGTGTATAATTTTGTATTATTACTCTGATATCCTGCTTACATGGTCTTCTAAAAATCACATTGTGTGGCAACTGATTTTTTGGGAAATGGTCTGTAATGCATTTTGTATTTTTATAATGCCTGCCTGTGTGATGAGAGTTCATGTCTAAATGGATAAAAATGTTTGCCTTGGCTTTAGGAAAAGGCGCTCATTGCTGCCCAGCTAGATAATGCCATAGAAAAGGAGCTACTGGAGAGGCTGAAACAAGGAATGGTGAGTTTGTGGCTGGGCTGTCTTTCACTCCCCACAGCCAGGGGGCAGCATTGAGCGTGTGCCTCACTCGCAGGTCATGCTGGGTGTCGTCAGATTGTGGAGATGACTGATGCTGTTATGAGAGGTTCATGTCAAATGTAGACTGCGGTGACTTTGGCGTGTTTTTCTGTAGTATGGCGACATCTACAACTTCCCGGTGCATGCATTTGACAAAGCGCTCGAGAAGCAGGAGGAGGAAGAGAGCGAGACAGACTCGTCAGAAGAAGAGGAGGATGATGCCGTGAGTGGCCGCTTCCATTCCCACATGCCGACAGCCTTTGTACGATCAGGCACACTGGACATGTCACTGTTGTCACAATGCATTTATCCTGGTTAAAGGCCAAAATCCCAAAAATATGTATTTTCTGGTTTCTAGGATGTTGGGAAGAAGGAGTTTATCGCAGAAGATGAGGTGGAGGAGAGCGACCTCAGTGATTTCGAGGTAAGTAAAGGCTTCGGCTCAGTAGGACATTGTAGGTTATTGCTGAAAGTTATGGTTATGTTTAAAGAGCAGTAAGATATATTTCAAAAGATACATTTGAGGAAAAGTATTTAATTTTACAGTTCCACATTTTACAAAAAAGCTAAATTCTAGGAGTGATATCACATGTGCCTGAGTGCACACACATTGAGATTTTCTACATCTGCATGTTAACATTTTTGAAAAATACACTCAATATTTTTGCTAACAAATAAATTTACAGTATGTTCACCATTTCAGTACCGTTATTAGGAAGAAAATGTTATACCTTTGATTCATCAAAGTAACCTGTAGCAGTTATAACAGAAGAGAAAATTCAAATGGAAAAGTTGTAAAAACCTTTTGATTGGTAGTGAGAGTGAAACAAAATTGTAATGTAGAGCAGAACCAGGCCTGTCCAGGTCTCCATGGGTACGAAAACATCGTGCTGTTCATTTGTCTGTGATAGGACATGAATAACCTGAAATGTGGCAGTGATGAGGAGGAAGAGGAGTTGAGTGAGGAAGAAGATGAATCTGAGGATGAGGAAGAGCTGGAGATGGAGGCGTCTTCCTCAGCCAAGGGGAAGTCCAAAGGGAAGACGCCTCTGAAGGGCCCGGCGCGAAAGAAACGGGCCCATGTGGAGATCGAGTACGAGCAGGAGACCGAGTGTCACGCCAAGGTCAAGGCCACATAACCATCACGTGGGCACCGGAGCGGGCAGAGCGTGGGCACCGGAGCGGGCAGAGCGTGGGGCGCTGACGCCGCACCAAGGACACGTCTGTGGAGTGCGGACTTTCCCCAAAGAGCCATACTGAGGCCACCACGGGACGCTCATGTAGAGCCTGAACTGTTGGGTTCACTCTCTCGCCTGTGTATGCAGGCAGCTTTCGCTCATCTCTGCAGACGTATTTATGCATCCTGGAGTTGGCCCATATTTTTTATTAGGAGTCACAATTTGTGCTGATTGACTGATCTCACTGTTGGGTCCTTCAGCAAGACCCTTATCCCCAGATTGCCCCAGGTACTGTCTCGCTCTGCTTTCTTTAAAAAAAAATAAAAAATGTACATTGCTTTGTGTAACAGCATCTTCTAAAATTAAATATAAATGTCTTGTGTCTGCTTTAAAAAAGAACGTAAATTTTGATCCGTAAGGTTTTGAAATGTCCCAAAGTTTTCTAAAGGATGGAGCTTATGAACTGTAGCGTCTCACAACTGTAATACCACCTCAATGTTGTGATGACTTGCTACAGCAGTTACAGTGTGAGATTAACCTTCTCATATACTTAGAGGTAAAACAATAAGGCAAGATAATTCTGTATTTAGATAGTTCTGGGTTTATTTAAAATAATCTTGGCACACAAACCATGTGATTAGGAAGAAAGACACAAACCTCATCCTGCAGCCCTCAGTATCGATAATGCAGTGAGCTGAGAGCCTTCTGAGGAGGACGGAGCACGATGGCCACAGTATCTGCGGCTATGAGGACTAGCATCCTCTCTCTGGGATGTGCGACGCCTTCGGTTCTTGCTGCACAGGAACGCCTTGACGTGCCATGTTGGTTCTCAGGTGGCGTCTCTCACTTTCTCGATGCATCTGAGCATGGCAGGGTGACAGGAGCTGCCATCTATGTCCTGGAGGGCACCCTAAGGGAGGAGGGACTCTTAGCTGGGGAGGGAAGCTACTGTGGGGATGATGCCAGAAGACCTCATATAAAGTGGATCAAAGAACTCTTTATCTAAAAATCATCACGACTGATCAAGGCGCCCACAGAGAATACAAACAGAATACTTGATCTGAGTCACAAGTTCTTGAGTGCTCCTTCCCCAAATCTCTATATAGCTATCCAGACAGGTGTATAAGTGTCATCGCTGCTTAACATTCTTCACACATTGCATTAACCTTGTTAGGGTAACACATGCATGGACGTTAGCAAGTTTTCAATAAATATTTAATTGACAGGTTACAAACCCAGTTACACAGAGTTAGTTGTGGGGGAAAAAATGCAACATGGTTTTTCAGAACAAAAATGAGACTCATTTTTGAATGACATTTGGGAAAAACTATTCTGGGAGATAACATTACAGATTCTTAGGGATGAATGAAAGGCAAATGTTGAACTTACTGATGATAAAGTGAATAGCTCTGAAGTAGGGCTGTCAAAATTAACAGGTTAACGCAGATTAATCCATAATCATGATTAATCTGATAAAAAATTTTAACGCAATTAACACATCTGCAGTGCAGAATGACTAAAAATCCCTGAAATGTCTTTGTCAACCCATTTCGGGCAGTTTTGGTGCGTTCCATTTGCCCTGGGAACTCGTATTCCGAGTTTTGAAGCCGGAAGTGACAACATACGCGCTCCTGTTTCTCGGAGATCTGAGAAATATCTCGGAGCAGCACAGAGGATCCCGAGTTCAGAATCCAAGATGGCTGTGCCCTTTATCAACAGAAGGGAAAGTTGTAGTTCTATACTGTTTAAGCACTACTTCTCATTTGTGGCTCATTAAATCGGTCGCACACACTATACCGTCCAACTTATCTGTGGACGTGTTGCTATACATAAAGTTGGACGAGTTTTATACATAAAGCACCGCGCGTAATGTGATATCAACTGATATTGCTAACAATGGCAATTAACCGAGCTAGAATTGGATTTCATGATTAGTCGTATTATTTGTGGGATTTACGGTAGTTCGGGCTAATTGTAAGTGAATGAAGCTAAAGACCATTTAAACTGAGGTACCTTAAATACGACAATTTGTCCGGCTTAGAAAAAATCTTGCTTTTTGATATGGGTCCATGGTATTGCACTTCTGTGGCAGATGGAATGCGTCCGACTCGTGTTCAATATGTTCAATAAACATGTTAAGTGCATATATATTCCCTTTTTTCTTGAGTCCATTTGCTCATGCAAAATGAATTGTGATTAATATAGATTAAAAATGAATGATATTTAATCGCGATTAATCTAAATTAATCCACAGCAACCCTGTTATTAATCTGATTAAAAATTTAAATTGTTTGACAGCACTACTCTGAAGTATATTTTTATTATACTCAAATTATTTATTTAGCTTTTGGGATATAGGATTGTTCCTTGACACTTGAAATGACAACAGCGCCTACAGTCTGAAGAAAACTTAAGCCACTCAGCTCTATCAGAGTGTATTCTTTGCTCTGTTCCTCGCAGTACTGACCTGATACACTCACCCCCAGACCAGACCCTTCAAATTAAACAGCCAATCAAGAAGGACAACATGCACTCACCCCCAGACCCTTCAAATTAAGCAGCCAATCAAGAAGGACATCATTCCTACCTTGACTCTACCTTCACAGGAGTGGTCCAATAAGAGCAGGCACTGTGTGGTCCTGTCCAGAAGTTCGTCCCTCACAGCAGGTGGACACATGTCGGGCTCAGAGGACACGTCACACATCATTCTCAGCAGGGCTCGCGAGAGCGTCTCCAGCCTGCAGCCCACCCTGGGAGAACACGGCGACCGCGGGGGAGCTCAGCACCTCAGGAACGTGACTGAGAACCCCCCCCCATCCCCCCTCCCCCAGCCTCGCCCCGATTACCTCGGCCAGGCATTCCGTAGAACCTCCTCAAGCACATTCAAGATGCTAAGTCTAGACTGCTCTCCAGGGCCATCAGAGACCTCCAGATATCCCACAATCACTCTCTCCAATCTTTTCAGGTGGCGAATGATGACAACTCCCATCCTAGGGGTATATGTTAGGAAAATTGCTGTAAAATTTTCATCCATATCAAAAATATGCCCATTGATCATATCATTGGGCTATCATTAGGTTCTAATCACACTCAGTTATATATATGTGTGTATGCCTGTAACAAGGCATTATGTAATAATGCCACATTATGTAATAACGTGACAGAATGTAATTTAATGATGATAACGATAATGCTGATAATAATAATAGTATGGTAATTTTGCAATGTAAAACATAGGTTATAAATTTGTAACATTTTGTCACGTTATTACATAATCGAATATTACATTATGTGTAACAACGCATTACGTAATAACATGTCATTATGTGATGAAAATTTGATACATTTTGTCTAGTTATTATATAATATCTCATTATTACATAATGCATTTTAACAATGCCTCAAAATAAGGGAAAAGGAATATGTGTAAAGAAGCATTCCAACGTACCTGTATTCATACAATGCAACACATAAGGGATCATTTCATCATTCAATTTCTTTACTCATGACGACTCATGGATAAACCGGCACATCTTGACACATCTTTTCATTTAAAGACAGGCCAGAAAAAGGCAGAAAGCAAAGCGAACCTGCGGATGAGAAGGGCGAGGTTGTGGGCGTAAACCCTACGTATGGCCAGCTTCTGCTCCATCTCCATATGGGTCAGCGTGAGCTGGAACACTTCGTCGTAGCGGTTGGGTCGGCGGGGGGCATCGGGACACCCACAGGGCTTCTCTAACACAGAGAGGAGGTCCAGCAGGCACGGAAGGACCACCTGTTTCCAACATATAGTGTTAAATTCACTCAAAAGTAGCAGCTATTTTTAGGCTATGATGTCAGCACTGGCCAATTGAAGAGGCTAATCCACATCGACCTCTGACCTTTACAGGAACTTGTGGGAAACTTGAATGAGTCAGGAGAGACATAACAAGACTTAAAGCAGCCAGTATACCAGGAGTACCTCTATGAGCGGAGCCTCGGCCGTGTAGAGGTGGTTGAACAAGGCATGGTAGAGCACCTGGGCTCGGTTGTACTGCCGGAGATCAGCTGCAGGCTAGGAGGCAGAAGAGGACACACACCATCTACCACCAAATTTCCACACTACATCTCTTACCAGCTAAATTATTTCTGCACCACCTGTGGCACCACCTGCCTCGACGTCAGTCTCACCACATTCAGGACGATGTGATGCAGACAGTACACCCCCAGCACCTTGTTTTCAGTGCGGTAATCGTCAGAGATGAGGAGAGAGGGCGGGAAGACGCTCTCCAGGTACTCCGCCAGCCATGGCCGCCTGACCTGGATCAGGAACCAGGCGAACACATGCTTGGTAGATTGGTTTCGTTTCCAACAGTCCCTGCATGACAAGAGAGGAAAATGATTTCTGTCGAGATCACGCTGCGTCTATATTTACAGATAGGATGATGAGCATGATAAGGAGTGCTGGGGATATTACTCACGAAAGTAATCCGTTTAAGACAGAGGTGGAAAGTTCAGGTCCAGAAAGTACAAATCCAGACTAAGGTTTTGTTTCAACCAACCACTTTAGTACCCTGTGACTTTTTATGTTAAGCGGGATGGTTGAAACAAAACCTTGGTCTGAATTTTTACATTCTGGACCTGAACTTTCCACCTCTGTCTTTAATGGGTTACTTTTGTGAGTAACTCCCCCAACACTGATGTTTACTGTATATGTTTAAAAAAAAAACATATATAAATAAAATGCATATACTTTTGCATCTGAGGCTTCAGAATGTTCAACACGGTCCCCAGGACGCCAGCGTGGCCGTGAGAGTTCCACTCACACAGAAACTGTGTGACCGACCCTACGCCACACGTGTGAACAAGCGTGTCCAGGAGCTGGAGAGCCGCCGTCCGGGACGACTCGTCAGTCCACGGCTGCTCCTGCAGGTGGGTCACAGCAAACACGCAGACAGGAGGCGCAAGTGCACAAGACAGAGCTCTCATGGAGGTAGAAGTCCTGTCACTGTGTTGATTTTCCGGTCCATCACCCAGCCGGCTAATAAGGGCTTGGAGAACTGTACACGCTGCAGCAGCGAGTCTGGGGATGTCAGCGTATTCGCCATGTGGAAGGTCACCGCTCTCCGTCTCACAGAGGGGCAGAGCAGCCAGCCCAGTCACCGAGCCCAGGAAATCACCGTACACTTTAACCATATCAGAGTCTGCATTGGTGCAACAGGCAGAGAAAAGCCAGTGGGCACTACCAGTCTGAAAGAGCTTCCTGATGGTGTCCACAATTCCGGGCTGCCGTTCCGAGGAAGAGCGCATGTCGCCAAGAGAGTCCCGGATTTGGCGGAGCACCTCGGGGACCGGCCGCCCAGACTGAAGACCGGGGCTGGAGTCTCCATCTCCATGTCCCTCCTTTATCTGGAGCCCGTGCAGAGTTTCGGGCAGGTCCATTTCTAGAACAGCCTTAAATAAACAAAATAAGAAAACATTGTAAGGACAATTTTTTAATTCCTGATTTGCTTATATCTGGATCGAAGTGATATCTCCATTGAATGTCCCATTCATTTCTGAATGCCGGATTAAAGCAGTCTTACACATAAAATTAAAAACTGAGAACATTATATCCTATTACTTTCTTAACGCGAGCTGACTGGAATAAAATGTGTATTATCATCAAAACAATAGGCTACATCTTCAATATGAATCGCGGGCGAAAGCGTGACGCTACTACGTTTCAGAGGAAGCGACAGTTTGGCTAGCGCTGCTAATTTTTAATTATACCGGCTACTGTTCACAATGCCGCTAATTCTAAACATATGATTGCACTACTGCACTTTCTTCTTCTTCTTATATTTTTCTATTTATTTTTGTAGACTTCCTTGGCAACGCATGTATATAAAGATAATAAGATATTGCTTTTTAACCGACAGCTAGCGGGGCGGTAACATTTTGAGATCAAATGACACGGATGTCTTACGGTTTTCGGATGTTCATTCAATATATTAAGTGAAACGACTGGTGTTTATTTTATATCAGTCTCATCAAGCTGAACGATGTAATCCATAATGGCCTCAAAACGTCTTCCATTTGTTTCGCAGTATCCTTCCAGCAGAACACGTTTCTTCAGGGTGTCACATTAAAATGCCTCCGCCCCGCACGACGGAAACATTTCATGGTAGCACAGACAGACACTGCACCCGCATACTCTCCTAACGGCCACCAGAGGGCGCCTATTTCACAAGGCTTATTGCTTCATTAGGACATCGCTTAATGGAGTATTATTTAAAAATAACCCTGTAATACTTATACAGCATACACGAGTAACTTAACAAGTTGTAAAAAGCATGAGACCCATGAACCTCATTTAACGTGAATATTTCGCCTGCATCGATTCAATGAGCGTTTAGATCTTTCCTGTAATGATGCGACACCATTCTTCCAGAAGAAATTCCATTATTCGGTGTTTTGCTAGCGGTGGAAAACGCTCAGGTCAGCTGCATAATCTCCCGCAAGTGCTCCGCTATACCGAGTTCTGCTGACGAGGAAATCCTTGGCATATGGCTTGAATTATTTTCCTGCTCATTGAACCATGCAGTAAATGCTGGTTCTGTATGAATTGGGAGCATCGCCACCCCGGAAGATTCAATTCCCACCAGGATAGAAGTGCTTCACCACCAGATGAATATTAACACTGAATGGATTTCAACTTCTTCGCAGTCACTTTTCCCTTTGAGGGGTTAAGCGGCCGGAAACCGTGCCAGGAAAATGCACCTCCCGCCATTAAAGAACAGACTGAACCCTTCATTACGGGAAACAAACACTCAACCATGTCGGTTTTTATTTCTCTTCAAAAAGTGTTGAAAATATTTTACCGCAGTTTTCCACTGTTCTCTATATTCCTGCCTGTGATCTCTGCAGCCCCCTACTTACCTTTTTTGATGTAATTAGGGGGTTATGCACTGTAACCGAATCAAAATAAACATCTGTGGCATTTACAACAAACTTTACAACCACCCAGTGAAACTTTACAATGAACCGGCTTGGAGTGTCTCGCTTATTTCGCCTTGAACCAATGCACAGGCAGCACAGGTAGGGGTGGACGTCCATTCCAGTATTGCTTGAGCCATTGTTCCTTGGAACATGCTGTTTGGGAAACCTTCGCCATTGAAGCACCCAGCAAAAATCACCCCTCTCTGACAGCTATTATTATCGCCATGGAAGCCAAAACAACCAGCAGGAGGGCCTGCCCAACGTTTTTACACATCCCCTTCAATGTGATGTGGTTTGCTTAATTATCTCAGGAGCCACACCTGTCTGTGGGAACCTGTCTTCAATACACCCTGCTTCCTTTACTGACTTTAGCATTTCTTTTTTTTATGCAGTTATATGCATATTTAAAAGAGCTGTACTTAAAATAGATGTCACACATGAATTTACTAGCTATTGTTCTCATAGGCGACATTGTTTTACTTTTAAAATGAACATCGGCATTGAGGATTATTGTAGCTATTTAACCCTGGAGGGGCGCACTGTCAGGGCCATCAATGGGCCCTATTAACTGTCCCATTGTGTTTGTTCTTGTAACAGAGGAAAACGCCAGAGAAGACATACAAGTGAACATAAGCTACACATACTGGTGGGATCAATGGGTTTCTGCCCTTTTGCATTTTTGTCACTGATCTCCTGTACTTTGCTTTGATCATAATTGCTGCAGTATTTACTGAAATTAACAACTTAATAGCCCCTCTCCTACTTTCACACCCCTAGCATCCTGTACGGTGAGACTGACTCCCAGTGAGCCTGAGCGCGGGATTTCCCCCGTATGTGGAGTGCTAATACGCCCAAGTTCCCAGGAAATTTGATGAAACCTCGCCACACCCGCTGTGAAAATGACACACTGCTCCCCTGCATGACCCAGCGCAGTGTTATCTGAGAGCGGGGGCAGGCCTGAATGTTTAATTAGTGCCAGGCTTTCTATTACGTCCACCGTGACAGCAAACAGGTGTCTGACTTTGTTGACTCAGCTTACACAAATCAAAGGAGTTGGGGGACAGAATGGGAAGTGTGATGTCAATAATTTGTTAAACATGGATATTGAACCTGTAAGGGGCCAGCATATTGTTTTATGTTTCCTTTCCGGCAATGGAAAAAGAAAGATGTTTAAAAAGTAACCCTTGATTTTTGTATATTTGTATTTGTATAAGGAAACCCATCGCTAGAAAATGTAACAAATTTCTGTATTTAATTCGGCAAAAATAGCCACTGGCTCCTTCTGTGGTGTAATTGCTGAATAAGCTTGTCGTAAAACACAATTAAAACAATATTTAAATTGGGTTTGTAAGTTGTCGTGTAGCTTACATTTTGGTTTTTATTTGCATGAGATAATGTTAGGGGAAAGGCTGAGGGCAGCTCCCTCCATGTGAGATTTGAAGAGCTTGTCCTTGGGCAACTCCATAGCAGAGCCTCATATTTACTGGTCGCAAAGATCTGTTATTTATGAGATGTGAGAATCGATAGCATGGAAGTTTCGCTGATGCTGATCTCATCCCACATCCTGACTTCCTGTCTTTCAGCTCTGTCCTTCGCTACAAGCACAGCCCGGATATAACAGATAATACGGTACCTGGCTTCAGCCAGAGGGGATATTAAAAGCCCGCTAAGATGGGCCCTCTGCAGATAACACTGATGCACAGACAGACGCACGTCCCTATGTTACAGAGAATCAATAAAAACTCTCTAGCCTTGTGTTTCCAGAGGTTCGCTTCAGTCTGACCACATCCTTGTACAGAGTAAGCTGTGTGTATGTTTGAAGGATCAATATGGACAAAAATATATAAGCAGTCTTTTTATAGACTCAAAATGTTTAGCTCCTTTTAAACCAAATAACAGTTCTTTTCACTTGTAAATACCCCATAGAACTAAAACCACTCTTTTGTATGGTTTTGTGTCATTTTTTATTAAAACATTTTCTCATGATAGCACAACTACACGCAAAACCAGGTTTCCTCTTCAAAGAAATAAAATGGGTATTGCAAAATAGAGGCAAAAGAGATATAACTAAACAAACAATTTGAATATTATAACTGACAAACCATTTTGCTCAGAAACATCCATTTTTTCACTGTGTGTTAGGAGGAAGGGTGAGATCCGCAGGAACAACTGCAGCAATAATTTCATGCAAGATTGACAACGTCTGTGAATATGGTGGCATATTTTGAAGCGCGTTGTGTTGTTGTTCGTCTTCATGATTGAGAGGTTATAATGAAACATTACATTTCTTTCTTGTCATTTTCACAAGATATCATATGTCACTCTATACCAACCAAAACCACTTAATGTAAAATGATAAATTAGGGAACTTCACCCAATTGATTCTAATATTCAGGCTGTTACATATTACATAAAATAATATTTTGTACTCTAATGGACAATACACCATCATACACTATGTAAGACACGACACGGTATTAGGAGATGGGGAAACACTAATGCTTATTGTCTTCGGTGCCATTATAAAGGCATGTTGGCAATCTGGTCTTTTCACGTTAACTTATATAAGGCCAAGAAAATGAAAACTACAGCCTGGATGTGTGATAACCTTAAACGACAAGTCCGAGGCACACAGGGCTAAGATGCAGAGGACATTTAGCGCACCTGAAGGATCCGGAGAACGAGAACCAGCAGCAACACATCAAAGGGCAGTAAATATGTGCTGCCTCTTATTTGAAATAAATATAGTTCCTTCTTTAATGCTTCTCTCAGTGTGTCTCCATGTTTTTGTGTGTGTGTCTATGGGTACATGAGCCTGTATTGTTTATGTTTGTGTGTGTGTGTGTGTGTGTGTGTGTGTGTGAGGGTCAGGGTCACTCCCCAGCTTCCTCCTCACTCTCGTCGCTCAGTGGAAACTCTTGCTGCTGTCTCTGAGTGTTGTACCTCTTCACAGGCATGGGACACTCTTGGCTGATAATGGCCTGTTAGGGGATTATAAGCAAGCACAGCAGAAAATGTGAAAGAATGCATCATCACATTCAAACAGGTGCCTAAATAATGTTTTGAGCAGTAAGAGACATCAGGCTGTTGGTTTAGCGCCTGTGGATCCTGGCCGTGTGCCGATCCCTCTGAGCGCATATGAAGTCGCAGGTATCAAATGGACCACTTGTTGGATCTGAGCCCCGCCTTTAATATCCTTTGAATCCTTGTCCCTGTGTGTTTCCCAGCGCCTGCCATTAGCAGGGGCATTATTGTTAACAGGGTAAGTGTATCATTTGCTTTGTCATGCTCTATGCTCCTGTCCGCTCCTCCCATCCCCCTATTGTTGGGGAGAGACAAGTGTCTCTTTCTGCTAGAATAGCCACCCACTACCTGCCCACATTATGTTCAGAGAACAGCGTTCGGCTTTTGAACCAGGAGGGCGTTGCTTCATAAGAATGCAAAGGAAAGTGTTCAATAGGCCGCACACTTCCTTCCCCGGGATGTGGTAATACTAATGTCTCTAAAGGTCTACGGCTTGGGTCGAGTCGCCCAGTGGCGTGAATGCCGATCCTTGAGGCATACTGAAGTGTGAAGGGCCAGATGCCAGAGGGAATCCTGGATTTACGTGGGGCCGTGGTGGACGGACAAGGCCCGAGACTCACCATCTTCTCTTCCCTGGCTGCCGGGCTCCTCAGGAAGCAGCACAGGGGTGCGTAGAGGACGTTAACGATGCCGATGATCACCATGAGGTAGGGGAACCCAATGGCTCTTACGATGGCACCCCCTGTGGACGGGCCTGTGCCGGAGAAGCGGGTGGCGATACGGAGCGTTAACCAAGACCTCCTCTCCTCGCACGGAACACACCTTACATACAAACACTATCACACACGGAACACACCTTACATACAAACACTATCACACACGGCTGCTGTCTTTTGCTCGATCTTTGGTGACAATCTCATACATTGAGTTGTATGTGCTGCTTATAAAATAATTCAAACATTCAGCATCTTTCAGTGTTGTGCTGTAAGGTAGCAAGTATATTTTAGAAGACAGGATGAAACCCTCCTTACCAATAGCGAATCCCATGCAGAACGCCACATCAGCAATAGCGTAGACGCTGCCGTATACAGAAATGTGACGAATGTCGACTAGATAGGCCATGAGGGGCATCATGGAGGAATCGACCATCCCTGAACCATAGTGGAAACATTGTAAACAAGGCAGTTAAGGTTCCTTTCTGATATATAATACTTTGTCATCTTACTCAATGGATTGTAACCTTTTTGTCCTAATAAGTCAAGCATTCATGTTTAATTGGTAATATAAGTTGTTACTTTAGTTATTATGTCGTCGGCACTTACCAATTGCAAAACCCAGACCAGCATTTGGCCCAATGAGACCGTAGATGTTTTTCGCTAAAGGAACCTGCCATGCAATGAAAAGACAAGTAAATTTGTCACCGCACCGGCAGAGTAAGGCAGTAAGCCAACAAGCGAGACACCAGAAGCAGTACTCACACAAAGAAGGCTGATTCCAACCACAAGCATCCCGATCATGGAGCACAGCCACCTGAAGGAAGAGCCAACAGGTCACCGCAGACCAGACCCGGACTGTGAACCACCACAGACACACCGCTAACCAGTCGAGCTTGAGAGGTCAGCGTGCTCAGACACTCTGGGGGAAACGCTGACTAAAATGTGACAGAGCGTGGAAGCGAGCGGAATGCCATTAATTGTTCAAATGAACTAGATCAGAAATCAAATATGTACCTTCCCATTTTGTTGGCCAGCGAGCCAAACAGATTGGTTCCAATGAGGTAAGATATGCTGGCTGGCAGGAAAGCCATCCCTGAAGAGCACCAACGCAGATCATGTAAGTGAACTTGAAGTGACTTAGGAAACAAGCAGCAGTGAAGCTTCATGTGATGGAACGATCCGGAGGCACATTTTGAGATGTTTTGTATGTTTAAGCATAGAAATACTGAGTTTGCCTGCAGAAGAGCCTCTTGGACATAGGAGGAACCTACCAAGGTGCCACTTCGGAGAGCACATGGTCTGCATCATCCATATGGGGAGGCTGGGCTCCAACATGGCCACCCCCATGTTGGCGAAGCACAGGGAGCCTAAGGTATACCGACACCACCGTCAATCCTCCCCGCTTTACAGCGTCTCCTGCAGCGCGACTTCGCCCTGTGGTCTTCGTTATGCTATTTGTAAGGAGCGGGGTTTTGGCACAAGTGTGTAGTGATGTTGGTGGATCTGGCAGCCGGGGATGGGCTAAAACAAGGGCGAGCTCCTTGAGGGGGTCCTGAGACCCCCAGCTCACCTGCGCTGATGAGGATGTAGGGGTCCTTCAGCAGGGTCAGCAGAGGCGTGCCCTCCAGGCTCTGGAGGTAGAATCATAATACCGGCTTCACCGACTCAGCCTGGCTTCGACATCTGACACGCATATTCCTGTGGTCTCTATCCCAGCCGGCCATAGACAAACTGTGGCTAAGCTATAGGAGTATGGGGCAGCCCGTGAGCTGGCTATGTGTGATACGCACACAGGCTCCTAACGCAGCGACAGGGACAGGGGCGTTTGCAAAGTTAGACTGAAAGCAGCTCACTCACCCCAGGAGAGATCTTCGAGGGCTGAAGTATACAGAGTTGCAAAGCTGCATTTAAAAAAAGCGTTAACTGGCATTTCAGAGTAATATCTCTCAGAAGAAACACACCACGATGTCTGTCTGGGCCTGACGTGATGAAAGTCCTCCACAACCACAGTTCAAGAGGTAACCTTTACTGTCTAATTATGGTTAGGGCTGCAACAATGACAATTACGCTGATGGATGACCCTGATGGGCACTAGTGTGTGGTCATTCACATCATCGTTAGCCTGGCTCATTCTGCAGAGGAGAACATTTCTCAGTGACTTTAGAATGGACTATTTCTCTATTATGATTACCATAGTAATTCAAGACCATTAAAAAGCAAGGTTTATACGATAATCTGCTTCTCGACTAGAGGCACGCAAAGCTAATAAGCAGTATATTCAAATAATAATAATAATAATGCATAAAATTTCATATTGTGTTCATTTGTTTACTGAAACAATCAGAAAATCTAATAAAATAGTGTAATATTGTATGTAATTAAATGAAAAATATCAGTTGTGCATGGTATTGTTGAATATCATGTAGCATGTAGTGACTGCCTGCTTCCCAACACAAACATATCGAATTACCTTGGGTTGTATACGTACCTCCATCGAATAATGCAAGGAAGGCCAAAATGAGGAAGGGGGCGCTTTTGCCTACAAACTCGTACATGACGCTGCCAAACGGGGCCCCGACTGTGAAAAGGACATTTCCATTTCAGATTGGTGGGGACAGTCGGGTACAGAGGAGCATGACCAAGGTGACGTCTGACCCTGCATTAGTATTTGAATGCCTACACCAACCCACCAGCTAACTTATACAAATACCGTCCTACTGTTTTGTCATGTTGTACCATATTGTTTAATACATTCTTGTACCACCACAATATATACTACTGTGCTTTCGTCCATCCATCCCTCCATCCATCCATCCAATCATCCATCCATCCATCCAGCTTCTGGACAGGGTCATGGGGGCCTGGAGCCTACTGCTAGTAAGGTTAAGTACTAGGTAGTGCTAGTAAGGTTAAGTACTAGGTAGTGCTAGTAAGGTTAAGTACTAGGTAGGGTAACTTCATGTCTCTGTACTGATGTAGGTACCATCTAAACTCCACTTAGCATGTACTGCCAAACATATTATATTACATCATAGTGCCTTATGTGATCCCACCCCCCCCCCCCCCCCCCCCCCCAACATAAAAGCCTTTGGTTTCACTTTACACTTCTGTGTGGCAAAATGACAGTAATTTGAATGAAAGTTGATGTTATGGGGGGAGCAGGCTGTTGCGACAGCAGGCCTCAGGGCCGCCTTGGGGCAGCACGTAGCAGCCTGTAAACTCTACACCACTGACTGCCTGGGGGGGGGGGGGGGGGGGGGACACGGGGTACTGCAAGGCAAGACCGAAGGAGTAAATATAACAGCAGATTAGTGACTTACTCAGGACGCCCATGGCCAGACCCCCCAGCGCAATGCCCATGGCGACCCCCCTCTCGTTGTCGTCTGTGTATACGCTGGCCAGCATGCCCAGACCTGTAGTGAGGGTGGGAGCCGAGCCGCACGGATTTAGCGTGGCATACACTAAATAATTGCCATGCAAGCTAGAATTTGTCCAGCCAAAACCATGTCACCTTCCTAAAAGCTGAGAATGTGAGAAGGCAGTAATCCAGAATGCCGTAGTACCATCCAAACTGCGGCAGTGGAGCATTAATCTAAATGGGGAAGTGGCAGGTAAACACCACCTACGCAACAGAAGACAATGAACGAATCACATTTTCCACCATATGCCTCCATTAGCCCGTCGTCGGGTCGAAGGCTAGTGGCCAGTTAGCCGCCGCGAGCCGTACCTGCGACGGAGGAGAAGGAGGAGCCGATTCCCTGCAGAGCGCGGGCCACAAACAGCAGGGCGTAGGTGCCTGAGAAGGCGAACACTGTGGGGCAGCCGTGCACGAACAGAAGCTGGGTTAGCGGATGCTCAATGTTTGCACTGGGATACATATTTTGGATGTGCGTAGTCTACCAACACTGTGTGGGAGGTCAGGTAATGAGCTCTCTACCCCCAGGACTTTCTAATTACATTTACTTATGTTAAATCCCTCTAACACCCCTTCCTGTCTCCACTACAGAGAATCACATAACATCATAACAAACAGCTCCAACAATCATAGATCATAGTATCTAGTAAATGCAACAAACCAAAATGCTGGCTTGCAGATATATTGTACCTTACTGTAGTATTGAGCATTACATATAAGGTTATTTAAAGTTATTTAAATATACTGGTTCCTTCAGTTTACAATAAGACATCACATGCAAACACTTACTTATTGTGGAAACAAACATGATGACAAAGCCGGCAAACATGGGAATGTGGTATCCAATCCTTGAAACAGAAACATGCCTTATATAACACTGAAGCAAATATGGTAAAGCAAATATATTTTATTTTAGTTGTCCATATTTGGTTTATCCCTTGTTAATGTGCTGCTTTCTGTGAAAATGAGAGCGTCTCTCTTGGATTTCTGCTTGCTTTGTGTCCTGCCATCTCGTCGACGTACCTGTTGGTGAGCGGCCCAACGAACGGATTGACCAGGAGCTGCACCAGAGCCTTGGAGGCGAAGAGCAACCCCACGCGCACATTCTCCTCCACCAAGAAGTCGCTGTCCTCCTGGCAGCTGGTTATGGAACGGTTATGGCCCCCGCGGGGGGTGGGATCGAGCGGCTTGGCTGTGTGGGGCCCCAGGACGTAGGTGGTGTTATCGTAGAGCGAGAGAACAGAAGACAAAGGTGTCTCCTTTGGGGGCTTCTGGTTATTGAAGCTCAGTGAGGAGTTCTGCAGTTTGTGCTCAGTGGCGTATAGGAACGTGGGGATGATGGGAACTGGAAGACAGAGGAGATGACAGGGACCCATTCAGAGACACATAAAGGCTGGAACCTCACGGGCCAGTCTGCTGTAAATACACACCCTATAGGTACAGTGAGGGGCAACTTTCTTAGATACATTTGCTGATTAACACAAACAGTCTGCCCCTCCTGCTACTGGAAATATCCGGCATGGTGACGGAGTCAGGAAGCTCAGCTACTGTGAGGCTGTGTGTTAGACAGCTCATGGTCGGTGCCAGACATGGGGGCTCCAGCATCTCAGACACAGCCCCCCTCCTGGTATTTTCGCACATTACAGTGCCGAGAGTTTACAGAGAATGTGTGATGAATCAAAAAGAAATGCTTTTGTTAATGAGAAAGGTCAGACTCATTAAAGCTCACAGAAAGGTCACACGCGCAAAAATAACAGTGATGTGCAGAAAGGCTTCTCAGAATGCATGATTTTTCTACTGTAAAAGTGATTCTGGGGGCCAAAGTCCTATCCAGCGACAAGTGTACCTAGTAACCTGGCCCCTGGGGGTATTATGGTGGTTATAATATGCAGTGGTTAGAGAGCAGTATGTGTGTGTTGTGTTTCGATGTGTGTGTGTGTGTGTGTGTGTGTGTGACTCACCCACTACAGTTAGCAGCATGTTGTCCAGTAAGAGGGCCACACACACCACCACCAGCACCAGACGCCGGGAGCCCCTGCTCTCCCGCAGCCACTCCGGGGGCCTTCGGCTGAACATGGGGCCCCACGCAGGCTCTGCAGGTAGCGAGGCACAGAGTTCTGAGGTACTGAGGCCAAGCTTCGTGCCCTGGACTCCAGCCTCACCAACACCTTTGATTGGCTGAAAAGTTTAGATGGATGGATGCATGCATGCAAACAGCATAGATTCTTCCAATTATTATTTTGTATTGGCCGAATTCTTCTGCTTTTGATAACAGTATGAAGATGTTCTCTATGGCAAACAGAATGCAAATATTTGAGTTTGCCTGGCTCACTGTGACCTGGTATCTATAAATGGCAAAAAAATTGTCATCAGTGCCCCAACACTGAAAATATGGATGTGCCAGTATATTGTTTTTCCATACTTTATTATTGATCCTATCTCCCATGGTTACTGGGTAAACACCAATATATGTGGATGGCAGATGTGGATCTCAATCAATCTGCTGTCAAGATTAGTTACAAAGGAGCCAGAGAAATTAGGGAAATGATCTTAGAGACAATTTGCTTCTGGTCTTACAATGGATCTTTCTCCCATGGTCTGTTTCCAGTATAACTCTGCACTGAATGTCATTAGAAGCCAATTTAAGTCAAATGACTCATTTGTGTTGTTTGGTTTTTTTTTTGCAGAACATCAAGACAATCTGAGGGTCCATTTAAATTTGAAAAGTAACACAAAATACTGAATGCTATAGAAAGACGGCTTCACATGCAAATAGCCACATCGATAACACTTAGTGCACTCTAATCATTCTCGGATATATTAAGCTGTTAGTCAGCTGTAATCTGGTTTGCTATTAACAGTTACAAAATGTCAATAAATTATGGCATTAGATTAAACATTTTCTTTTAATTGCACACACACACACACTTTTGTATTCATATCTTTGTGGGGACCCTCCATTCATTTCTATTGGAAGGACCCTAACCCCAACAAAGACAACTTTAACCCCCACCCAGCCCTAACCCTAACCCTAACCCATAAGTAACCAAACTAAATACAAGACTTCTGGCATTTTTAGTTCTTGACTACAGTCACATATTTTTATAAAACTGAGCTTCCCCTTGTGGGGACCAAAAAAAAAAATCAGACTTCAAAATAGCAGATTTTTATCACATTGTGGGGACATTCATATATAACACATATGCACAAAAACACACACACACACACATATATACATATATACATGAGCGCTACTTACAAACGTATGTGACTGAGGACTTCAACAGCAGCAGCAACACTTTTTACAGTTTTTTGTTGGCAATGAATAGGTGAAGTCCAAGCCACTGAAGCAGTTTACCATGGAGTAAAGCTGGAGTAAGAATGGAGTAAAGCAGAGGAACCTCGTCACATTAAAAGAGAATCCTAGTGGAAAAGTATCCGGCTCATTTTGTCCCTCAGAACAAGCTTGCAAGGCTTGCATCGGTCAGTTAGGTCCCGGACGGCCTGGCCAAAGGCACGTCTTGTGGGTGTAGGCCAGGGGCGAGTCAGACACTGTGTGTCTCCCACCAGACAAGCTATTTAAGAGCTCCGGCGTCTGGTTGGGGGGGTTTGGTCAGCCTTTTGTAATAAGGTAGTCACGTCTAATCCCACCCCTCAATATGAAGTACACCTCTACCCCGAAGACCGAGCCAGTAACACATGCACACAAATTTACTGCGTCACAGAGGGTGGTAATTGAGTGCATCTGCTGCGTTTTATCAGGTTGGGGCAAACCCTGCAAGCGAGTCTGATTCACAAAGCCTGGTTATCAGTGATCTCAGGCACATTAACCCCTTTAGCCTCGGTGACGAGCCGCCCTTTGCGAACGCCGGATGGAACACGTGCCGTATTTGCACTGCACCTCTGCTCTGTGTCAACAGTCCACACACCCCCCCCCCCAGTTCTCAGAGAATTGTCGTCAAAGGCTCGCAGCAACCATATTTCCCATAACTCTTTGACGCACAGGCTTTTTCCATAGTGCAATGTAGTCATGTTGACTGATTAAATTTTCTCATAGAAATCTGGAATCTTCCTGAAATTTATATTATTTCATGTGCAAAAGATTCTTTGAGAACCTGTGATTCCTCCATTAACATGGATGGATAATTCTTTTACGAACCCTAGAATCACCAGTCATAATATAATTGATGATTTTTATCTGGCAACCTTAATAATTATTGCCGGACTGTAGGAGGCAATAGAAGGTTGAAGCCTGAAGGTCAGTCAGGCCTTATTGAATCCTGTCCTTGCAGAATGGGGCTCAGAGTAGGTGCCGCTTCCCAAAGGCACATCCACAGCCTGAGGCTGCCTTCAGGAAGCCTGTCTAAATGGAATAAGGAAGGGAGCTGCACATGCTCACATTTCCCATGGAGCCAGAAATCACCCCCCCCCCCAGAGACAGGGCTGCCAACCCCCCCCCCCTATGAGGTCCTGTGTGCATTTCTGTGTTACCACAAGCTTTACTCAAAGGCTTTCTTCGGGAGTAAAGCTTTGCATAGGTCTATCAGACTCCATTCTCGTTTTATACACAGGGCGGTCCTTGGGTTTAGAAAGTTCGATTCATACTAACAGACGGACTGTCATGAAGCCTATTATATTTTAAAATTTGGGTTAAATACAACGGTTCATGCAGTACTTTGTGACACTCGGTTCGACGTACAGTATAGTGTGTAGTTACTTTTATTATTACTGTATAATAATAATACATTTATTATTATCATTATTATTTGTACTATATTATTATTTTTTCATCTGACCTACAAATTCGACTTAAAAACAGACTTAGGGAACGGAACTCATTCATAACTTACAGACTGCCTATATGAATGTCACCCAAAGTTCTGATGAAGTGGGTTATCTATGTTTATCTAAAAGAGGTGACGATATTATTAATGAATGAAACTATTTGAACCGTATAGTTGTGAACTTCAAGGGCGAAGGAAAGACAACCAACAGAGAAGGTCATGTAGATTGACCTCACCAAGTGCTCAAAGTTGAGGGGTGAGCAAATCTCCGAGGGCAGCATCTGTGAAATCTTGTCGAGCCAGTCACTGTGCTACAAAGGCCGGCTTCCCTCTATGAAACCCGTGCATGGCAGGCTCAATCACCCCACCTCACTGCAAAGCTTCCAGAGAGATAAGCCTCTCTCTTTGTAATAAGGCCCTTACCGGCACTTCCACACTGGCTGTGGGAGATTAGAGGTAACAGATACAAAAGCAGGTAATGCTTCCAGACACATATAATCACAAGGTTTTCTGAGAGGAAGAGATAATATAGGGGGTGTTTGGACTGGAGGATCCTGACTTCTTTAAGAAACAAGTCTCTACCAGTTGCAGGTACCAAATGTCCTCTGTGTGTTACAGTGTAATTGTTTATGTTGTTGAAATATTGGGTAATGCTTTACATTAACTGCAGATTTATGATGCCTTTATGATGCATTCAAAGAACATTCAGAGCACCTTCACAATGCATTCATAGAACATTCATAAGAAGTATGTAAGTATACCATAACATCCTAACATATATTAACAGCTTTAATATACATGAATAACAAACATTGTATGATATTGACAAAACATTATAAGCGTATAAATTTGTAATGTTTTATTAATGTACATTACATCTGGTAAGGTATGTTAAGGATTATTTACACGATGCTTATGAATGTTCTATGAATGCCTTATGAAGGTGCAATTAATGTAAAGAGTTACCAAATATAATTTAATATTTGAAAAGCATCTATCTGTATACATGTATGCTAATTTTCCATTTACTCTTTGCTCATGTGTGAGTTAGCTTGGAAAGTCAATTTTTTTATGGGACTGGTGCTGTAAGAAGATAACTCCCATGTTCTCTGGATGAGGGACTGATGTGCAGTTCATTATAAATTGATTGCATGGGGAATGAGAGTTTGTGCTAGAATGCACACAAACTTGCTGTGCCACATGGTGGCTCAGTGCTCCATACCGCCGTGTGGTAGGTTTGAATCCCGCTGCGGTGTTTGCATGTTCTGCTTGTGTTGTGTGGGTTTCTAATTAGGATAACTGAGGTCTCTTAATCTTCCCTATTATATGTTTATGGGGACCAGCACCCCGTTAAGGGTGTACTCCAGGCTTGTAGCTTGCACTACTAGAGGAGAGACCATTGTTTCCCAATCCGGTCCTCGAGAACTTACAGACGGTCCACGTTTTTGTTCCCTTCCAGCTCCCAGTAGGGAGCAAAAATGTGGACTGTCAGCGGGTTCCTAAGAAGCGGGTTGGGAAACACTAGGATAGACTCCAGGCCCTGCAACCCTGAACCAGATCAGAAGATGGATGGATGTTGAGCTCTGTGGCAGGCGAAGAGGAGGGGGGGGGGGGGACCGTGAGGTAGATAAACGCCCCATTTAGAGGTGAGGTTTGTTATAGGAATGCGGAAAATATACAAAGGAAGATTGTCCAATTATTGACCATCAGTTACTTTTCGTTGGACTCCCAACAGGCCTTCCCCTCACCCCCAACCCCCCCAGAATCATAGGGGCCCAAGGCTACTTCACATGCAAGGGGGATGGATGGAAGTATATCCCCCACAGCAGCCCAGTGACAGTGCATGAGGAAGAGGCTATTTGCATTCATATGAGGTGTCCCTTGATGATGTGCTAAAAAAAAATTTCTTGGAGGGTATGGAACCAGCAGCCACTCGGCCATTGGTGTTCTTAGCCCAGGCCACCATCCGCAGAGCAGCGTGGGTAGGGATGAGGGTACATGGCTGCCTGAGGAGGTAACACCTTTGCTCATGGTTGCCTCATTTGTCCAAGGCCTTCCATTCTTCAGCAACGTACCATTGTTCAGCAGGAGTGAGCTTCTGCAAGATATATAGCACTGGGTGTACCATGCCCTGAAGACCTGGGAGAGGACAGCAGCTGACATTTCAGGCACTGGTGAACAGTCAGAAGTGCAGCTCAAATTTGGGGGCGTGGTGGACCAGTTCAGTGGTGAGGGCCTCTTTCACACGCAAGAAGTGGAGCTGGGCATTCTCGTTCCACTGGACAGAGTCGATCCGGCCTTTGCGGATGAGATCTGAAAGTGGGAGGATAAATCAATGATAGTACTCAGCCAGGCCGAAGGCCCTGTCTGGTACTTAGGGTGGGGCAGGGGAAATTATTATTATTACTGCCCAGTGCACAACGGCAACACTTACTGTTGCACATATTAGCAGTTTATTACACATTACCAGCATAACTTATTGCTCATATTCAGTGAGAGATTATCTCAGGCTGAGGGAATTCAGAGTTCAGCAGATTTATGGCTGTTGGGAAAAAGCTATTTTTAGTCTGTTATATGTGTACAGATTTATCTAATGCACCTTCCTGAAGGGAGGAACTTAAACAAAGTATGTCCCGGATGAGTGATGTCCTTCGTGATGCTTTTAGCCCTTCTCACACAGCGAGCCTTGCGTAGATGGTCCAGCAGCAGCAGTTCCGTGCCGACGACGGCCTGTGCTGTTTTTATCACTCGCTGCAGGGCTTTTTTAGTAGCTTTGGTGCAGTTGCTCCACCACGCTGTCATGCAATCATCAAAATGCTCTCTATAGTGCATCTGTAAAAGTTAACCAGCAGCTTCTGGGGGAAGTTAGCTCTCCATAGCCTTCTCAGAAAACAGAGGTGCTGTTGTGCTTCGCCCACTACCACTGAGGGGTTGTCAGCCCAGGAGAGATCCTCTGTGATGGTGACTCCCAGGAACTTGAAACTGGAGACTCTCTCCACAGCCTGTGCTTTAATGGTTATTGGACTGCGACTGGTCTCTTTATAGTCCTAAAGTCCACAATGATTTCTTTGGTCTTCTTGGTGTTTAAGGCCAAGTTGTTGGTGCCACACCACTCTGATACATTCCAAACCTCCTCCATATATGCAGCTTCATCATTGTGTGGTACAATGACAGTCCAATGACAGTTGTATCGCCCGCAAATTTAACAATAATGTTTGATTCATGGTTGGGTTGACAGTCATGGTGGAAAAATGCATAGAGGAGGGGACTTAGCACACAGCCCCGTGGCAGACCGACGCTCAGGATGATGTATACTTGCTCAACCTGTCAGACTGGGGGCGGTTAATGAGAAAGTACAGTAACCAGTTGCATACGGAGGGAGTCAAACCTAATGCATTGAGTTTGTTGATCAAGTGGCTTGGTGCGATGGTGTTAAACGTTGAGCTGTAGTCAGCAAAGAGCATCCTAATGTAGGTGTTGGACTTTTCCAGGTCTGAGAGGGCATGCAAAGCCAAACAGATGGCATCCTCAGTCGATCTGTTTGTCCAATGGGCAGACTGGTGTTCATCTGGACCAGCTGGGACAGAGGCTTTAATGTGGGTGAGTAACAGTAGTTCGAAACAGTTTGCAATGACAGGGATGAGAACAACTGGTCGGTTGCCAGACAGGTAATCATGGGTGTTTTTGGAACAGACACTATGGTTGTGGATTTCAGGCATGCGGGAACTCTACGTAAGGACAGCGAGAGATTGAATATGTGTGTAAATACCTCCGCTAGTTGGTGAGCACAGGTCTGGAGCACACGTCCTTGCACAGTATCAGGACCTGCTGCTTTCCTTATGTTGATGTTGCTGAGTGCATGCCGCACCCTGTGTGTGTGAAGGACCAAAGGCTCTGGGCCACCTGTCACTTTGAAGCTGGCTGGAGGTTGGTTATTGCCCTTGTCGAACCTTGCGAAGAAGCCGTTAAGTTCCTCTGCTAGGTTGGCATTGTTGTTGGCTAGCGTGCGTTGTATGTCGCTCTTCTTTTTGTAATCCATCACTGAACAGACGCCTAAGCCACATCTGCTGTGAGTTCAAGCTATGATGGAAGTCCTCCTCAATCCGCTGTTTGTACTTTAGTTTTGCAGATCTGATGCCTCTCTTAAGAATAGCTTTGGTGGCTCTATAGACTGAGATATCTCCTGATTTAAATGCTGTATCCTTCACCCTGAGCAGCTGATTGACTTCACTATTCATCCACGGTTTCTCATTTGGGAACACTCTTTTGTTGACAGTTACGTTGTCCATGCAGTAATTAATATATGGTAGTACAGTTGAAGTATATGCATCTAAATTGGTCTAATGGAAAAATATGTTCCAATCTGTGTGTTTGAAGCAGTCCAGGAGTTGGGAGACAGCAGCCTCAGGCCAAACTTTGACAGTCCTGCTAGTTGGTTTAGCACTGTTAACAAAGGCTTTGTGCACAAGGACAAGAAACAGAGTAAGATGATCAGACTGTCCAAGGTGGGGGTGTGGTATGATCTTGTAAGCATCTTTTATGTTTGTATAAACATGATCCAATGTCTTTTCCCCTCTGGTTTTGCAGTTGCACTGCTAGGATGCCAGAAACTTGTAGGAGTCAAGGAGGACAAGTACTCAATCTCCCCATCAGTGGGCTGAGTGATACAGTAACTAGATTTTACTAGAGCTTTGTGTGCCCTGCTATTCCTCACCCATCAGGACCTGTCTGTGTTTGAGGTGGTCATCCCGTTGCTTGTTGACAAAAACCCCCACCTGTGTCTCTTGCTGGAGCAGGTCAGCATTGGGGTTTCCATCATCTTCTGATTTTTGGATTCCATCCTCCACTCATGCCAGGAATGTTGAATGCTGGGTGAGGGTGGGCACTCCGTGGGCTGGGGTGTAAGCCTAGTGTAAACCTAGTCCTAGCATGGTCGCCGTTCCCTCTCAGCCGTTTATTCAAACACAGTGAGGTATGCGTCAGTGTCATCCTCAGCAATGAACTTGGTAAGGAGCTGCAGATCGATATGCCTGGTCGCCTGATTTCTCCTGAGTTTCAGGCCCAGCATGTTCTGGAGATGCTGGGAGATCACAGCCACACCGGCACTGATCTGTTGGTCCCATCTTAGGGACTTCCACAGTAGTTGCTTCCGCACATTGACTATTTGGTTACCTTTCACATTATGGGTGAAGTTCTGCAGGACAGTTCTCTTCCCCGCATCCTCCACCAGTGTAGCAGGTAAGGAGGCATGGAAAACAAGGATACAGACAAATATTTAATGAGAAGGGAAAGTTAAACAAACAAGTGTGTGTGTGAGTGGTCCATTAGGAAGTGGCAGACCCTCCAGGGCAGTCACCCTCCAGTGTTTGCACGCAGATCACGCATACATTTCTAGCTTGCCCTTTCGTTTTATCCCTGGCATGGTAGACAGGCCAGCTCTCGGGTCGAGGTAGTTACTGCCTGCCAGCTGTGTCTCGTTGGCACACCTTGAAGCCAATGGTAATGAGACCACAGCCACTGGCCCACACGGTGCTCATCATCCCTTGCTGGTATGCAGTGAATTCCTGCCAGGGGGCACAGTAGGCTTTCTTCATAATGTTAGAGAGGATATTTCCTAAAACATGACAAAATATTTTCCATGATAAATTGCTAGTTCGTTGCTAGTTATTTTGATTCTTCTGTAGATACACAAGAAGGTGCAGGGGCTCAAACACAGACTGGGTTTCAGATCCCAAATGTGTATCTGCTGTGAATGTGCCTTGTGATGGACCATTAAGGTTTAATTCAGCCCATTAAGGCTGTACATCCTCTGTCCTTCCTGGAATCACCTTACTCCCCCAGACCAAGATAAGTGGCTGAAAGATAGATATATGTACATACAGTATGTAGTTCATTTGTGTCAGTCATGAAAATTAATTCTCTCAAATAAATAAGCAGACAAGCAAATAAGAAACAGACACACCATCCATTTAGACGGCTGTCCTTCACCTTCCTAAACCTCTCATTCTGAATGTCATACAAAGCCGTATGATTTCCTTTAACATCTATGATGTTTCAATTAATGTTTCACCCAATTTAATATCCTTATCTTTTTTATTAGGTGTTTTTGATCAGTAACCACTGTGACCAGCCAACTGGCTGCTACATAAGTTCAATAATAAAAAATAATAACAATATAGAACAAATATTGACAAAGAAGCTCTTCTTAATATATGAAAAATGTTAGTCTTGGGGCTTATATTTAGACCTGTTTAAACAAATCTTGTATCTCAAAAATTGCTATTTAAGATTTATTAGCTATTAAATATCCAATTTAAGTATTGCATATATTTTCAAAAGTTCTAATATCAAAGTAATTACTAATTTTGCAAAATGCATTACTACAAGATATATATATATATATATATATATATATATATATATATATATATATATATATATATATATGCGGATACATACTGTATTGATTCCTGTGGGAAAATTCTCTTTACAACTCCCCAACTTGCGCTCTGTAGGTCGTTATTCATTGATAATTCCTCTAAGGACTATGGCCTTTCCCACCAGTGTTTGGTTGTCTCAGTATTGTAAGAAGCGTATAGCCTATAGGCAAGCCTGCGGAAATACGAAGATGTGAGCGAGTACATGTGTCAATTCTGGTGATGGCTCGACCCGAATTATAAAGGATAAAACCCTATTCGCCATTGTTCATTAAAACATTTTGTATAATTGTACAGCACCTATATATCTGTCAAAACCTATATTTATTTGGTTGGGAAGAACTTCTTAAATCTTCATGCATAGTGGACGACAGAGAACAAGAACAGATGTAACTGTAATGGTGTGTCATCACTATCCCGCAAATTACAGACCGCGTACAACCCACTACCGTTACTGATACCAGCCAGCAAAGGCTTGGTGATTCTTTACCTTCAAGGTGTAATTAATAACGACAAGCCCTTTCACCACTTCCCCCAGGAGATACAGATTATCCAAGTAATCCGGTCCAGGAAGCAGCCCGTATCCGAATCTACCGCGGCGATTCTTTCAAAGCTATTGCAGCATTTGTTCTAAATAAATTTCAAAAGGCCGTCTATGTTTTCAGAATGGGTGGGTGTTTGGGGGATGTAAAGACGATTAAAGCTACAGGATATTTATTGGGGGAGGGTGGGCGCTGATAAAATTAGATATAAATTAGATCCTCCTATTCAGAAGGCATCTGACTTGAATCTGGACAAGGAAGGGTACTGGCCAAAGTGATCTAGCAATACTTTCCAAAATATAACGGTAGAATATTGTAACATGTTACAAATGACTAAATATTAAATAACATTTAAAGAGGGTTTCCCATCGATTACGATTGATAAAATCGGTGTGTATAGCCGCTTTAGACAAGCAAGGGGGATACAGCGCGCTTAAGGTCAGGTATGTGGGCGTGTGTGCTACTGTCGGCGTGCCTAATGCCGGCTTTCGTTAGCAGAGCGTCTGGGAACAACATAATACGACCATCGACTTCACTGGGACCAGTAAACCAGGTGAGAACACGATTGTATCCTTACTTTTTCATTCTCACTTGTAGTCATTTTAGTATCTGCAACAACTTTGAAGCCAAGGGCAAACAGGGATTAGAGACATGAACCTACGTTACATGTGTGTATGATTTGGGTAAAAAACCAAGCTCGAACGTGGGCTACTTTGTTATTAGATTTTAAGGGTACGCATATATGATGATTCTAAGTCTATGTGTGCGCGAAATTAAATTAATGTTAGTAATTCCACCTGTGTCGCATTATGCAGACGACCTGTAAGGTTGATCGTGACTGTGGCAATCAGGAATATTGCGAACAAGCGTCGCAAAAGGCTCCCGTGTGCACTGCCTGCCGGACGGAGAGACGCCGCTGTCAGGGGATCGGCATGTGCTGTCAGGGACTCCACTGCATTAACGGTCTGTATATTTCTCCGGCGGAACTCAATAATATTTACTGTTAAACTAACCTGCCTGACTACTGATTAAGCCCGATGTTAATATTATTACGAGAAATTAAGCAACCTAGGCTAAACGTAAATCTGTAAATTGAATCCTGATATCGATCACTGTGAAATATCGTAAGGTTTTTTAAACTCCACCCAAACCGCGTTCCATAAATAAAACACGTATTTACAGATTATATGGGGGCTTTTTAGCGCTTCTCCCGGCATCCCATCTCCTCCTTTTTCTTCAGTTTTTCATGTTCTGTGCGGTGGGTTCAGTGTCCGGCCATCGGTATAACTGGCGCACTCCTTCTGGGGCGCTGAGACATGCACCAAGTATACATATGCACTGACCGGGAGAAACGCATTAAGTTTAAACATCTAACTGCTTAAATTGCTGTGTAGAATTTCTTACACTATAAGGCTACAGGTATGTAATTTGTGCATTATCAGCGTCACAGCCGCATGAAACGGTGACACCGCAGCTGACAGTCACGAGGGATTTTGCAAAAATTACAGCCCTAGAAATTATTGATAAAAGTTTTACAGAGTCTCTTTTTAAATTCTATGCTTTTCCCGTGTTAATGCAGGACAATGCAAAAAATCAAGAAAAGAAGAACCAAACAATCCAAACAGAAGAAAATCACGTCCAAAACACAAAAGGAAGGAAAAGAAAAAAGGTAAAAGAAACAGATCCGTAATATAAAATGGTTCAGTAGAGGGAAATGCCGTGAAACAAAAAGATGAGTTTAGGTTTTACGGATAGATTAAAGCGACGCTAATAATAATCACACAAGATTTCAGGTTAGAAAAATGAAAGGGTGAGAGGGTAAAAACTGACCCGCATGCAATAACAGATAAGCTAAGATCTGTTTGATAACTATCTGTTTTGGCGACTGGCCAAATCCCAGGCCAAGAGATGGCAAAATGCGTTCGCTCCGAAGACTGTGGAGAAGGATTGTGCTGCAGGCGCTACCTGAAGGGCAATAAGTGTCAGCGCATTGGTACCGAGGGCGAGGCCTGCTCCCTACACTCGCACTCCAAGCGCCTCCGGGCTGTGGAGTACTGCCACTGCGCCCAGGGTCTCTCCTGCCATGCCCAGGACCAAAGCACGAAAGGCAATGGAATCTGCCGACCCACCAGCCCGTTCACTTAGATGCAGAAAGACCAACGGCAGTTTCCACAACATAAATATTAGTCATTAATGAATGCATATGTCTTGTTTCAGCTTCATCTTTTGTTTTGGTGCCCGCATTTAAAATTCACTTTTGTGTTTTCATTCCTCAAGCCAATCCAGATTGTATTGTGTTTCTGTAAGAACGTTTGTGTGTGTGTGCGCGCGCGTGTGTGTATGGTCACAGCATTTGCAAATGTTATTGTAATGTAGTAGAAATTATTTCTCTAATTTATATGTTTATTAGAGATTGAAATTTGGGACTCTCCAGGAACAGACCACGTTGTGAATTCCATGGTGCTCGCTTTCCTTCCCATTTAATATATTTATGAAGTTAAAGCCTAATACTATTAACTGTTTGTCATTGACAAAATGTTCTTTTGTCTTCAGCCAGACTGTAAAATTAAACTTGTGGGTGCTGGGTTTATATGCTGAGAATAATTGTGCCGTTGGCACTGGATGCAAATGACATTATTGCTTTTCCGTATTTGAATTTGGATATCAGTTGTAGACCATAATCTTTGAAATGGCATCCTTATTTCCAGAATTTGGCCCTTATAGTTGTTTTGATCTTTTTTTAACTCAGACTTAAATTGATATAGCCAGTCGTTACAGATCTTCCCTGCCGGTTAGAGAAGGAAACAGCGCACTCTGCTGACCGCAGTGGAGAACTCCAACAGCATTAAACGTAGAGCAATGAACTTCGTTCTAGCGGTAGAGTAGCAAACTGACGAAATTATCTGTTGCTGCATGCAAGAAAAATAAAATGTTTTATTCTTGTAATTTGTGCACAATTAAAATGGTGCTTGAAGAAGCGACACAACTTATACACAAGGTTCCAGATTCAGTCTCAGGGCACATTTCACCTGACAAGGCATATCTTTAAATAACATTTATTCAAGAACCATAATAGTACTAATAATATTCACATCTATTACCTCAGGAGTGCAAGTAAGATATGGTAATTTTCCAGTGGATAATATGTGGTTTAACACCACTCATGCCGTTTCATGTAATCTCCAGTGTATTGCTGGATGTTACATTTAGTATAGCGAGTGTATACATTGTGTCTGAAGTCTTAATTTCTAGGTTTTAATCCATGGTTAACCTGTGGTGACATCAAGAACCAAGGGTAGGAGATGAAGGGGATCATTCAACTTGATTCTAGTTAATTCTGCATTCACCAGCCAGGAGACAACACTCCTTAGAGTGCAGACATCTTTGGGTCCATCACCTCCACTAATATCTAGTGTTGAGGGGTATCTAAGTGGGAGTGCAGGATTTAGATACTCCAAGTGTGTATTGCTGCACAAATTTACAGAAGTCCATAGAAGAGGTTCATAAGGCAGAGACAGTCCAATCACAGTGGTGCTCATTCAATGAATAATTTGAAAGAAAAAGGAAAGAGACCAGAACTGCCCAGTGAATTTAAGCTATACCACCACAAAGAGTAATGCACCACTAAATATGCATCTAACTTTAGAAGTAAAAGGATGACAGCCATCTGTCACCTCCTACAGACACAGCAGTATAATACCACACCATTTTAGGAGATCGCTCAAATTGCTGACGCCTGGAATTAAACACACAGGAATGGCACTTTAGGCTGTTCCCCTTTATTTCAGATTTTCATAAACAAATTAGGCCCCGTCAGACCAATTGCAGAAAAAAATGTGAATGAAGGCAAGTCACAAATGCGGCAAGTTCAGACAAGACACCAACTTAAGGAAAGGGATAGCGGGGAAGTGAATCTCTGCTGCTTAGGAATGTTGTTGGGAGACTTCAGAGCTGCCCACAATCAGCAATGATGATCTTGGCCGAGGTTTTTCCACTCTGGGAACCATAACCCTCAACCTTCCTTACCA